CCGAATAATGTAAATAGTGTACATAATACCTCATCTCAGAAATATAGACAGCTACTGAAAGGCCGAAACGCTGTAATAAATATGGCGACAAAGATGAGGACAATAGTCCGAATAATGTAAATAGTGTACATAATACCTCATCTCAGAAATATAGACAGATAATGAAAGGCCGAAACGCTGTAATAAATATGGCGACAAAGATGAGGACAATAGTCCGAATAATGTAAATAGTGTACATAATACCGCATCTCAGAAATATAGACAGATACTGAATGACTGAAACGTTGTAATAAATATGGCGACAAAGATAAGGACAATAGTCCGAATAATGTAAATAGTGTACATAATACCTCATCTCAGAAATATAGACAGCTACTGAAGGCCGAAACGCTGTAATAAATATGGCGACAAAGATGAGGACAATAGTCCGAATAATGTAAATAGTGTACATAATACCTCATCTCAGAAATATAGACAGCTACTGAAAGGCCGAAACGCTGTAATAAATATGGCGAAAAAGATGAGGACAATAGTCCGAATAATGTAAATAGTGTACATAATACCGCATCTCAGAAATATAGACAGATACTGAAGGACCGAAATGTTGTAATAAATATGACGACAAAAATGAGGACAATAGTCCGAATAATGTAAATAGTGTACATAATACCTCATCTCAGAAATATAGACAAATACTGAAAGGCCGAAACGTTGTAATAAATATGGCGAAAAAGATGAGGACAATAGTCCGAATAATGTAAATAGTGTACATAATACCGCATCTCAGAAATATAGACAGATACTGAAGGACCGAAATGTTGTAATAAATATGACGACAAAAATGAGGACAATAGTCCGAATAATGTAAATAGTGTACATAATACCTCATCTCAGAAATATAGACAAATACTGAAAGGCCGAAACGTTGTAATAAATATGGCGAAAAGATGAGGACAATAGTCGAATAATGTAAAAAAGTGTACATAATACCTCATCTCAGAAATATAGACAGCTACTGAAAGGCCGAAACGCTGTAATAAATATGGCGAAAAAGATGAGGACAATAGTCCGAATAATGTAAATAGTGTACATAATACCGCATCTCAGAAATATAGACAGCTACTGAAAGGCCGAAACGCTGTAATAAATATGGCGAAAAGATGAGGACAATAGTCCGAATAATGTAAATAGTGTACATAATACCGCATCTCAGAAATATAGACAGATAATGAAAGGCCGAAACGCTGTAAATAAATATGGCGAAAAAGATGAGGACAATAGTCCGAATAATGTAAATAGTGTACATAATACCTCATCTCAGAAATATAGACAGATACTGAAGGACCGAAATGTTGTAATAAATATGACGACAAAAATGAGGACAATAGTCCGAATAATGTAAATATTCTACATATTACCTCATCTCAGAAATATAGACAGATATTAAATTTTACAGTTCAAATTTAAATTTAATTTTTAACCCTTATTATAGTTGTTATCAATATTATTAATTTTTATATTCTTTGAAAATTTAAATTTAAAAAAAAAATAATCTTTAATATATTGTCCTATATTAATTACAATAGTATTAACCAGGATTAATAATATTATTAATATATCTTATTTTATTTTATTCTTACTTTGCTGGTAATTTTTAATACTTTATGTATTAACTATAACTTATATTGATGTATGTTTTTCAAGTGTCGCCTACATATGATAATTCACTCTTCCTTCTTCTTTCTCCCCCTTCACCTGTTTAACTCTTTCTTTTTTTTTTCTTTTTCCACTCCCTGCTTTAAAATTTTTCTTTTTATTTCTTCTTTTCTCTTCTTGTCTAAAATTATTTAAGAGGTCAAATTGTCTGGCCTCTTGACTGATTACACTTAAACTTACGTACATTTTTAAAGATGGTTTTAAAATAACCTTATACCTACTTTCCATTTCTAATATCGATCGTTCTATAGTCATCCCCCTCCCCCGATCTGTCACCTTATATCAATCTTAAACTATCCCTCAAAAACTTGTATTAAAAATAAACGAACCAAATTCCTTTGTAACTGCAGATTTGACCTGATGAACCAGGAAAAATATATTTTCTACGGAAATAAATTATAGTCATGGAACCTTAAGGTTTTCTATTTCTTAATTAATTAATTAATTAATATTTGCTCTGGTGTTACATTGAGCTCTCTGGATTATATCCTCTTTGGAATTATCCACACGGATTAGCAAAACCTTCATTACCTTAATATCTATCTAACTATATACCCCCTAAATATAAATATAGTTTTTAAGGTGTGCTATATTTATGGGATAAAGTGCTCAATTTACAGAGATAGAGCGTATGTAAATAGAAATGTTAGACGCAATCGTTAATCAGCGGACTGACGAGTGTGTCTAGCATGAAACAGCCTGTCGCCTCTGAGTGTTGACTTCAATGTTCACTTATATATATATATATATATATATATATATCAACGGATATATATATATACAGATAGATAGATAGATAGATATTTAAATAAAAAAACTGAAATAGATAATGAACAAACTGAGATATGCAGTTAGATAATTAACAAAATGAGATTGATAGATATGAACACACTGAGATAGATGATGAAAATCCGAGATAGATAGATAGATAGATAGATAGATAGATAGATAGATGGAAACGTCGGTACAACCTATATATCTATATATCCCCTATATAGAAATATAGTTTTAAGGTGTGCTATATTTACAGGATAAAGTGCTCAATATCAGAGATAGGACGCCAGGCGGCCTGACGATTGCGACTAGTATTAAACAGCCTGTCGCCTTTGAGTGTTGACTTCAATGTTCACTTTTATATAAAACTCCTAAATGTAGCCGTCTCTTCTACTCTAATAGCTTCATGTCTCGCACCTCTCGCCTGTGGAACTCCCTTCCTTTTCCTGTTTCCCTGTGAGCTATAATTTCCAAGCTATTCAAGTGTAATGTCAATCGACATCTCCAGTTGCCTTAATCTATCTACTACCCTCATCCTTTCTTCTATCACTCCTATCTGATCTTGCTCTAAATTTTCTGTAACTCCTTGCGTCCTATGGCTTCCCGCCTTGCTTGGGGTGAAATGCTCAATATATATATATATATAAATATTTAAATAAAAAAAAGTGAAATAGATAATGAACAAACTGAGATAGTTAGATAATGAACAAAATGAGACTGATAGATATGCACACCGAATGCTGAAAATCTTGGATAAAAAAATGATGCTGCTATTCCAAGAAAATGCAGAGTGATTTTGAAACATACTTGGCATTATAATTGTGCTCTCTGATTCGCAAGCTAATCTTGCAACGTGCTCCGAATAAGTTCACACGGGGTACCCGATTAAGATGAGACGATCCCAATATAATTAAGATATTTCTACTACTGTATTTGTGTTATTATGAGTGCAGGTTTAAACCGACCTTGTACCACATGAAATCCTCCTGGGTGGGTAGCTAAATATTCTAGATGGGAACTGTTACATCAAGACAGTTGAACTCTCTGCCTTCGGGTGGAAAGTAACCCGGACGAGCCTCCGCCGTTCAGGGAGGTAGACTGCCACTGAACCCGTTTATACGGGTTCAAAAAGGGAATATTTTTGGACGAGCCTACGGGCTCGGACAAACCACGTTAAATCGGCCTTGTGCCACATGCAACCCTCTTGGGAGCGATGTAGCTAAATATTCTAGCTGGGATCTGTTCAAGCTGTGCTGTGAAACTCTCTTCCTTTTGGCAGAGAGGAACCCGGACGAGGCTATGCCAAAGGGAAGAGTCACGTTCGGGGAGATAGACAGACCCGATCCTGTTTATACGGGGTCAATGGGGATTTTTTGACCGAGCCCAAAATGAAATAATAATAAAAGGAAGGAATATTAATATACAACCCAGTGTGTCTGAAGATTTTAATTTTTTTAATATTTTTATTGTTCAATATATATATATATATATATATATATATATATATATATATATATATATATATATGCTGACTTGAACAGCCTCTAAGCTATTTTTCATCATCTGATTTTTTTCAGCTTCTAAATTCATGAACATCTGTCTATGTAGGTATCTATGTATGTATCTGGCCAGATACACGGAGAGACAGATATATAGCCAGCTATTTTCCTCTGTTTTATATATCTATGATTTTGCCACAAGGAAACACTAGTCCTCTTGTTGCAAAGGCGACGCAGCAAACGTTCACGAAGCTGGGTTGAGAAATTCTTCTACGGCCACTTGATAATTGCGTGCAATCGCGCGTAAGATATTGTCACTCCTAGCTAGTAAGTTGAACTCCAAACTTTATAGGATATTAATACAAACTTCTGCGTTTTGGTATTGAGTACTTCATCTTGGTGTGCCATATAATGTTTCGAAACTTATTTTTGTATCTTATATATGCAACATACGTTTAAAAATACACCCTTGTGAGTTCGGGTGCATAATAATGCCTTATGTTTGACCGTGTGCCAGTGAGCCTTTGTGGGTGTTCATAATTACACGTCAATGTGTGTGGTGTTGTATCCACACCTCTTTCATATATTAGAAGGAAAAAAAACAGTATAGAAAAAAAGAGCCGCTGTATTCAGACACGACCATCCTTTGTACATTGCACCGTTTCCCGTCAACAAAGACAGCTTGTATAATGCAACGCCTCCTAGCGGCAGTAATCAAGAGCGGTCGAACGTGTTACCCAGGGGAACTACTCAAAGGAGCCGCCTAAGTATTGCTGACCAATTTAGTCGCAAGTGAAATTACTGTTTACAGAAAATAAATATTAGCATTATTTACTCTCTTTTTCTTTTTTTTTAAATAAAACATCTTTGCATATTTTTTTATGCAATTTAGACCCCCCAGAAAATTGGCGCTAAACAGTCTTCCTCGCCCAAGTATGTATTTAATATAAAATGTCTACTTAGTAACTAACAAGTGATAAATAATAAACAAATTCTTTTTTAAAGAAATTCGAACACCGGTTCCCGTAGAATCACTGAAGTTAAGCAACGTCGAGCCTGGTCAGTACCTAGATGGGTGACCACGTGAGAATACCAGGAACTGCAAACTTGAATATGCAGGTGGTGTAATGGATAATGACTCGAAATTATTAATTGGAGAGCAGAGTTACCGTACAATGACCAGAGTTAAGCAACGTCGACCCTGGTGGTTACCTAGATGGGTGACAACGTGAACATACCAGGTGCTGTAAGGTTTGATGTGGCGATGATGTAATCGATAATGACACGGAATTATTAATTGGAGAGCCGATTTACCGTATGATGACCGAAGTTAAGCAACGTCGAGCCTGGTCAGTATCTAGATGTGTGACCGCTTGAGAATACCAGGTGCAGTAAGTTTGGATGTGCAGGTGGTGTAATGGATAATGACACGGAATTATTAATTGGAGAGCCAATTTACCGTAGGATGACCGAAAGTTAAGCAACGTCGACCCTGCTCAGTACCTAGATGGGTGACCACTTGAGAATACCAGGAGCTGCAAGCTTTGATGTGCAGGTGGTGTAATTGATAATGTTTCAGAATTATTAACTGGAGAAAGGTGTTCCATTTCCAGTTGGGTCCGTTATATTAACTTAGGCGCAGATAACCTTGGTAAAGGTGTAAACCCACTTCTCCACCCTACAAGCTAGGGGTTAATTCGTAAACTTGTATCGCTAAAGCATTGTTATCTCCAGAAAATTTCTCATAAGCTGAAAATATTTTGTCTTTGTGGTGGAGACATACCCGGCCGAAGCAAGAGAAGGCGAAATTGTCTGTACATGTGTTTGTAGACATCATAGACCTGCGAGGCGAACTCCAGGAAAGAAATATTGAAGTGACCCAGCGCATGCGTTATTGGTGAAAACGAGGTTTCTTGCCCGAGACAGAGGAAGGATAAAAAAATCTGATTTTTTGTTTAAGAGCAGTTTTGTTATTTGAGACCGGTGAAGGTTATACTAGTGTTCCAGAGAAAGAGCTATAGTATTGTTTACGGTGCGCAGGAAACAGAGTCCCGAGCGAAGCGTTGTTCCGGTTTCCATGTTATCTGTCAGCGGGAACAGATTCGAGTAGAAATTTATTTTTTCCTACCACCAAAATTTTCGTTTAAATCACCCAGTCTTTAAATAACTTACAAAAGGGTTGATAAACCGTAAAAAATGAATCAGTCAAAGAAGTTGGCAAACATGTTCAAACAAAAACATTAAAATAAGCTGTATTGAGACGATGAATGTGAGGATGGCATCAGAAGCGACTGCTTAACCGGACCAGGTGGTTGGTTGCAAGTGCGTAAAATACGCTGATCGCATCCCCATGCAGAGAGGTACGACCACACCCCAAAACAGGTCCCCAGAATAGTTACATTTAGTCTCGTGTGTAAATATAACCAATGTTTAATATTTTGACTCTACCTTTTTTTTTTTTAATCATTTCACCCCATGCAAGGCGAGAATGCCACTAGTACGCAGGAGGTTTACAGAGAATGAAGGTAAGGGAAAAGACTGGGTATAGCGGGGACCGAGGAAAGGAGAAAGGCTGAACGCTGTTCAAGAAGGCAAAAGATGGCGATTGATATTGCATTTAATTTTTTAAAGATTTCAGTTATCAGAGCAGCAAGGAAACGGAAGAGAATTCCACAGGTGGGAAGTGCGGGAAAAGAAACTTTTGACTCTATTGAGATAACTCATGGTTGGCAATTTTTATCACGACACCGACTATCTCGTTTTTGTGGTCTTGCCATCAAGATTACAACTACGGGTTTCTCGTTGATTTTGACGCAGTTGACTAGTACTTGGTGTTTAAGTCAGGAACAAACAAATAAATGTAGCATTTTAAAAATTTTTTCTTGCATAAATTGACATTTCTGGCCTTAGATCTCCAGATGAGACCCGGAAATATATACCAGAAATCAAATAAAAATAATAATAGACAATATACTAATCATTTACATTATTTATTAAAGACATTTTTATGTTTAACGTTCTTTTTTATAGATACAAGTATTTAAGTAAATGCTCTGTTTATAATAAACAGTATTAAATAACATTTACCGGCCTGAATGTCCGAGAAATTTTCATAGAAAATATTCGTCTTTTGACAGGATTCGAACCTGCATCCTATACGGAACCGTCATTTACACTGACGTGCCTTGACCGCTCGGCCACAAAGGATCGTTCGGTTGGCAAGGTTGAATTTACTGCTTATAAACTTCAATCTTCCATGAATCTCGTACATTCATAACTGCTCATGGCGTATCAAATGTAAACAAATGACGTTAAACATAAAAATGTCTTTAATAAATAAGTTGTCGGACTTTGTCCATTTCTTAATATATGACGTCATTTGTTTACAAACGATCCTTTGTGGTCGAGCGTCTTTTAAATTAAAACTTTTGGAAAAAGTGACATTTATACTTTTGTTTATATATACGTATTGCAAAATAAAACCCTTACATTTGTATTGATAGAGTCAATCAGAGGACGAAACGTGTCAGTTAAGATACATTTTGCTTTTGTCTTTATTCACACACACACACACACACACACATGTATATATAGCCGATGCGTTTTCGTCCTCCCAGGTAAGTTTTTTCTTTTGTCTTTGTTTTAATTATATATATATATATATATATATATATATATATATATATATATATATATATATATATATACACATATATATAGATATATGTAAGTAAACACTGAAGTCAACACTCACAAGCGACAGACTGTTTCATGCTAAACGCAGTCATCAGGCCCGATGATTCCGTCTAGCATGAACCACTCTATCACCTCTGAGTATTCAATGTTTACTTATATATATATATATACATACATATATATATATATATATATATATATATATATATATATATATATATATATTGAACATACCCAAACACATACACACATATATAAATATATATATATATATATACGCTCTATGATATTCTATCCCCTTGTTCTGCCACACATTCATTCAAACTTGTCAAGTTGGTTACTCATTCTTATTCTCACAAATCCTTTCCCACCAAACAAGGCAATAAAGCCATTAAGACGTAAAGGGTTACTAAGAATGAAGGAAAGTGGGAAAAAACGTTTAAATCTTTCAATATCGTAGTTAATAGGAAAGCAAGAAATCGAGAAAGAGTTCTATAGGCGAAAAAAGCGAGAGAAGAAAATATTAGCATAGAACTTACGGTTGCATCTAGCTATTTCAACAGTAAAATGATGAGACATTTCCGCCAATCTAGTAGTGCGTTTAAATTTCCAAAGTTTAGATACCAAAGAGGAAAATCCATCAGAACAAATGCCATGGAAATATTTATAGAAACGGAATCTATGTTTGTGGAGGTGATTGAAGATAATATAAAAGATCAGGAAGAATAATATTGTAGATTCTTCTTTGGTTTATTCCAAGAATCTTTAGATATGAAACAGAAGTACCAGACCAGATGGTAAACGTAAAAAACGTTCAAGACTGATTCAAATGAGAAAGAATGTCTAGCACAAGACAATGAACGGAATTCATTAATAGTAATAATTTCCTTAAAATTTCCTTATGGCACATATGTTCTGTCCATGTTATTCCCTGCATTCAACAGTGTAACTGTTATGTTAATTTACCCAAGCACGCATGGATTCTCCCAGCTATAAATAGGAGCAGGTACTGCCTTTTGGTGAGTTTCCAGCAGTCAGCTCTGACAGTCGAACCGAACATTCTTGCTGTAACACTCTCGTTTGTATATGCTTGTATTACTGTTTCTGTTAATATATTTGTTTAACTCAATTCCTCTCTTGTGTCTGTATTTCTGGCTCTAATAAGGCCACAACAGAAAGAAAGAAAGAAAGAAAGAAAGATAGAAAGAGAGAACAACTAAATATAAATTGCCGAGCAAGAAGAAAGAAAGAAAGAAAGAAAGAAAGAAAGAAAGAAGAATGAGCAACGAAAGAAAAATTATGAAGAAAGAAAGAAAGAAAGTGTTATGGTAATTTATCCATGCGCGCATGGACTCTCCCAGCTATAAATAGGAGCAGGTACTGCCTTTTGTGGAGGGTGTGTGTGAAGTTTCCAGCAGTCAACTCTGACAGTCGAACAGAAAATTCTTGCTGTAACACTCTCGTTTGTATATGTTTGTGTTACTGTTTCTGTTTATAAATTTATTTAACTCTCTTTGTGTCTTTATTTCTAGCCCCTAACAAGGCCACAACAATAATTACATCTGTTGCTCTATACATCTCGAAACCTTTCGACGGGCCTTCTTCACAAGTTGATAAGTTACGGTGTTCCCGGAAAAATTTTTGAACTGATCTAAACTTTCTCATCTAATCGTAAAATGAAAGTTATCTTAAACAGCCACATTACTGGATCCTTTTTTTACTAATGCAGCCCCACCCCGGGCTCTATCCTTTGTACTACTTTGTATTTAATTTTCATTAACGACCTTCCCGTCCCAATTTTGTAATCTATGCTGTTGGCACAACCATTTGCTCCTGTCTAGATAGTAAGCTTTATCAGTTCGATGCGGTCGAATTGGCGGCTGATGCCAAAACGACCTTCAGTCTGTTGTTAACTGGGGCAAAGAATGGCTTGTTAATTTTAACGTCTCCAAAACTAAACTGCTCTCTATTAATCATCTTCAAAAAATCTCTCGGGGTAGTTTAAGCTAGCCTCCAGGAAAGTGACTCGTTTCGCGTTTCTGGACAAATATTCTTAGCTGACATGAAGTGGAAAAACTACATTGAATCCATTGCTAGGTCCGCTGATAAGAAAGTTAGTTCACTGTGTTGTGCTAGACAATTTTTCTCTCCAAAATTTATCTTGCATATCTATAAGTCTGTCATTCATTCATGCTTAGAATATTGCTGCCACATATGGTCCGGTTATCGTACAATTTATCTAGAGCTGCTTGATAAAAGACAAAAAAGAATCAGCAATATTATTGGTCCTCGTCTGGCATCTCGTCATCAGTCATTTTCCCACAGCTGTAAAGTTGCCTCCCTGTGCCTTTTCTATAAATATGGTAATTGTTTGGATGAGCTCTTCCCTCTTTAAAGTGAATCGCTGTA